TTTTAAATTAATATCATTAAACTAACTGTAAAAATAGCATTTGACTATATATAACCTTAATAGCAACATGCAAAGCTCAAAACCTTCGTGTAAAGAATTCCAAATTGGTAGTCAATAAATTAACTACTTTGTGTCTATGCCGCTATTAAATTGAGTAAGGAGTAAGATAAAATATATATGTAGAATAAGACATTTAGTGACGCGTAATAAGGACACAATTTTTATTTTGTTTCAGCCATTAGAAATACGGAGCTTAAGTCATGATGATATTGGATTTAATTAGTAATGATACGGCATATACATGGAATAAGAGATGTACTTTACTCTTCACACTTAATTAACTTATCAGAACTTATTTCTCGTAGTATTATATTAAACTTTTACACATATAATTAGTGAAAGTGAACATTTTATATATTGTATCATTACTTAAATTATACTAATCGGGTCTAATAAATTTCCAATCCCTACGCGTACTAAACTCAATTTCTTATGACGAAATCCAAATTGAAATTCTTCGAAAATTCTTATAGTAAACCAGTACATATTCTCTAATATTTTAAGATAAATTTTGATATTAAAAAGACTATTGTTTTTTTTTGTTTCAAGAATTCAAGAATTTAATCATAGGTTAGAAAATTATCATTTGGACAAAGACTGTTTGTAGTTAAATACTCATTTTCTTGGTTCGAGAATTTTAAATTCATTTTAAATATATTACTAATACAAATTATGTTAACGTGCACGTAAAGATGCCAATTATTTGTTTCAGAAGTATTATTACTAATTTATTACCATTCGCAAGAATTTTTGTCCAGAATTTTCTTGTTTTAGAAATTATTAAGTTACATGAAAAGAGCTTAAAACAACAAGATTTATTTAAGTAATGAAGCAATATACGAATATATATAAATAGTGACAATATTCATTGTGAAAATAAATTTTAAAATATATGTTTAATTAACCTTAGAAATCTTCTTGTATGGAATTCTAAATAAATAAAATTTCTAATTAATTATGCAAAAAGTTATTTATTTTAGAATTCTATAAAAGTTTTAAATTTTTAGTAAGCAAAAATTTTTACGCGTTAACGGTCCTTTGTCTGAATGGTTAGTTTAAAATCCTTTTGAATTATAAATATTATTTAAAGCAAGAGGGGCATTGTCTAACAAGGACAATTCTGAACAGAATTTTTATATTATTATAGTGTAAAATTAATTATTATATATTAATTTCAATATAAATAGAGACTCTGTTTGATGCTGAACAATCAAAATTTTTGAATATTACAAAATTATTGAAATGTTAGTTTTACCAGTTTTACCAACAGAAATTTTAACCGAAATAATTAAATGTCTCCAAAAAGATCATAGAAGCTTGTTTTCATGCCTTCTTGTCAATCGCCAATATTGTAGAATCACTGTACCAATACTATGGAGTGAACCTAATTTTAAGAATAGAAAGCTCATTCATATGTGTCTTTCTAAATTTAATGCTGATGAAAGAGCACTATTGCCTTCCGAAATTACACTACCAATTAATGAACAACCATTAATATTTGAGTATTTAAGATATATTAAAAGAATTTGCGTTCATGATTTAACTGACGGAGTTAAGATTTGGCTTAAAAATGAGATAATATTTAATTATTACACTATTAAAACTGAAATTGCAAATTCTTTAATTGAAACTGAAATTGCAAATTCTTTAATTAAAATGTTCTTACGAACAATTAAACATTTAAAAGGATTTATAAATTATGATCTACTTAATACTGATAGCAAAGAAGAAGTTAAAAAAGTTCTTTTTGAAAATAGGACTTTGACTTCACTAGATTTTCACTTTACTATTAATTTTGATCCTAAGTTTTGGAAAGGGTTTGCAAATTCTCTTTGCAAAAATAATTCATTAACTTCCTTAATCCTTTCATCTAATAAACTTGGTTCTGAGGGTGAGAAGGCGTTAGCGAGTGCTCTACAAAAGAATAATACTTTAAAATCTTTGAATCTCTGAAATAATCAACTTAGTCTTATTGGAATAAAGAATCTGGCACTTGCTCTTTGTAAAAATAACTCTTTAACTTTTTTGAATCTTTCATCTAATAAACTTGGTTTTGAAGGTGGGAAAGCATTAGTAAATACTCTTTGCAATAACCCCATTTTGATTTCTTTAAACCTAAGAAATTGTGAACTTGGTTCTAGGGGAGGGAAAGAATTTGTAAAAGCTCTTTGCAAAAACAACACTTTAGCTTCTTTAAACCTTTCATCAAATAAACTTGGTTTCGAGAGAATAAAAGAATTAGCAAATGCTCTTTGTAAAAACAATTCTTTAACTTATTTGAATCTTTCATTTAATCAATTGGGTTCTGAGGAAGTGCAAGTATTAGCAAAAGCTCTTTGCTCAAACAGCACTTTAATCTCTTTGAATGCTTTTGATGATCAATATAATGTTGAGCATGATAACTTATTAAAAAGTGCTCTTTCTAAAAATCGCAAAAACATATCAGAGTGTGCTTCTTTCAAAAGTTCCAAAAACACATCAAAGTATGATCTTTCCAAAAATCGCAAAAAAAGTGCTCCTTCCAATAATCACAAAAACACATCAGAGTCAAAATTAAAAATTTTAACACTTTCACATAAAAAACAAACTCTTCACAAAAATACATTAAATCTTGAAGTTAAAAAAATGAATTTAAATGCCGCTGCTTTTAAAAATGAAGTTATTTTAGCAAATTTGGAGAATAGAAAGATACTGATTTTCCTAGATAAAGAGCTGTTTGGAGACAGCATTTATGATTTAATTTTGTTATTTTTTATTATTAATTTTTTAATAATTACTAGATCATTTACATTTATATTTTTTACGGTTCTGTTTTATCCTTTACTTGCTTAAGAAATTATAACTTTTTTGAATCTTTCATCTAATAATCTTGGTTTTGAAGGTGGGAAAGCATTAGCAAATACTCTTTGCAATAACTCCACTTTGGTTTCTTTAAAATTTAGAAATGGTGAACTTGGTTCCAAGAGAGGGAAAGAATTTGCAAAAGCTCTTTGCAAAAACAGCACTGAGATTATTTTAGCAATTTTGGAGAAAAGAAGGATACTGATTTCCCTAGATAAAGAGGTGTTTAGAGACAACATTAATGATTTATTTTTGTTATTTTTTATTATTAATTTTTTAATAATTACTGGATCACTTACATTTATATTTTTTGCGGTTCTGCTTTATCCTTTACTTATCTAAGAAATTAAATAGCATTATAAATTAAATTAATTAAATTATTTAAAATAAATACTTACATATTTTGATTTGATTTTAACAAAAATGATATTTTTTTCCAATAAATAAACATCAAATATAATTTAAGTTTAAAAAAAATTTAAATTCACAAGTATTGCATAAACTGATCAAGATTATTCATAAATACCCAAAATTTAAATCTAGCCATGTACAAATAGAAATTGGCATAAATTGAAAAGTTTGATTTGAGAACCAATAAATAGTTTGGTACAAAAAGATAGTTTCTTGAGAAAACATAGTAATTTTATACAGCGAATTTTTTTATTATATATGGCACACAAACAGAAATTGCAAGAATATTTTGTTCAAATTGTCCTTGTTTCGAGAGTAGTTTAAATGATTGCACGAAAAGACTTTCTTTTAGATTAAGTATTAAGCTTTTAGTACACTTAGCCAATTAAATTCTAATTTGGTGATAAATAATTCTATTTTCGGTGACAATTAAAATTAGAAAAAATTTATATTAGTTGTCACCGAAATTAAGAAATAGAATTATTGTTTTAAAATAAAAAATTTGATTGTTAAAATTTGATAATTGCGTGATTACGAACTGTATTTAGCTTTTCAGTTGTCATCATATTATTATCTAATTTTGAAAAACTGTGCTCAAAAATTATTTACAAATAAACTGTTTTTTTTTTACAGATTAGATATTTTGGCCAGGTTTGGTTAAATCCAGCCAGAATTTAGATAAATTCGACACGGATTAGAATTGAAATTTTGGCACAGAAATAATTTCAGTCAGATTATTTCGGCTGAAATTTAGGAATTTTGGCTATAACACTATGCAAATTAAATCTTTGCGTTATCGTGATTTGGTTTGATGACATATCAAACCTTAGGTTAAATTTTTAGGTCTTGGTATTTTGTGACAGGTGATATTTAGTATCATATAGTAGTTGTATTATAACCATTGACTAGTGACCACGTACAGTAAAGACCTAATTAAATATTTTTACTTCGATCAATCTTTTTTTATTTAAATTTTTTATTAATTATTTAAAATTAATTTTTTTCATATTAAATTATTTTTTTATATCATAGAGGAAGGAGGGTGATGTTAACCAAAAATAATTTTGAACTTAAAATAAAAATTGAATTAATTTAAGTATAGTCTTTTAATATTTAATTAAATATTTAATATAATTACTAATTTGATATATTAAATATTTATCAATTAAATAGATTTAAATTGAATTAATTTAAGTATAATCTTTTAATATTTAATTAAATATTTAATATAATACTAATTTGATATATTAAATATTTATTAATTAAATAGATTTAAATATTATTATTAAGGACTAATATTGGAAAAAATTTAAAAATAACTTCTAAAGCAACTTTATTAAGTACAATAAGTACTGTACGCTAAAAAATTTGAAATCTCTAGAGAAGCTGAAACGAATAATCATCTAATTTTGAATTTGAATATTAATTTTTAGGATTTAATTACATTTTTTTCTCTTAATAAGATACTTTATCTAATAAAAGTTGACCATCTCGAAAGCATTCATATAAAATTTTTGTAAACACATGACAAAAAAAAAAAAGATTCCAAGATCAGCAAAATTAGTGCATTTAATATTAAAGAATTTGGTGAAACAAAATTATCAAATTGTAACGTAATGAAAATCATTTTCAAAATTCTTGAGCGATATGATATTATTTTTTGTCAAGAGGTTAGGTTGTCTGTGAAAATGATCAACAAATTTGTTATCTCATTATCAAAATCCTTCTCCATTCCATATTCTTATGTATCAAGTCAACCTATTGGTAGAGGTTCATACAAAGAAACATATCTTTACTTATACAAATCAAACAAATGGAAGGTATTAGATAATTATGTAATTAAAAAGTTTTGTGACAAATTTTTAAGAGCACCTTATGTCATCCGATTTCAAAATTTAAAAGAGCCTCATATTAGAATTACTCTTGTTGGATGTCATATACGTCCAGGTAATGCATATGAAGAAATAAAGGCATTAGTGAATAATGTATATGCAGATATTAAATCGAGATTAGAGAAAAAAGATAGTTTTTTATTTAATTTATTATATTGTTTTAGAAGTTCATGTATCAATTTAAATGTTTTAAATGAACCTATAATTTTAATAGGTGATTTCAACACTTCGGGTTCTTACCTTAATAAGAATAAGCAAAAAACTCTTGACAATATATTATATAACAATAATTTGATGTGGGGAATTGATCATTCTAGTGATACCACAGTTGCCACCAAATGCAATGCTTATGATCAATTTATATTTGAAATTAAAAATAAGGAAAGATGAATTGGAAATACCAGAGTATTTGAATTCGACAAAATATTGAAAATTGACAAGCTATTGAAGAATATGAAAACTTCTGATGTTTCAGATCATTATCCCATTGAGTTTGAATTGAAGTTGGATAAGCAGTAAAATCAGATCTGGGTAAAATCATTAAATTTATTAGCGAGGACTAATAAATATTTAGAAAAAAGAAGGTGAGTCAGTAAGATAATAAGATGCAAATTAATTTTATAAAATAAGATTGATGAATTTAATTAAAAATTTTATATTAAATTTCTTTATATTAGTATAGAACTGCACTGAAATGAAAATTGCTATTGAAGTTAAAAATTGCACAATTTAAGTTATATAATTGACTTAAATAATTAATTTTTATTATCTTATTTATTTTATTATTTTATATTTTAAACTACTGTATTTATCTGATTTAACCTATTTGTTATTTTAAACTATTCAACCATTTTTAAATAAATTTTTAATTTTGTATCATTTGGTTTAATTTATTTAGCCCGGATTATAGGTCGGATTTCAGATTTACGTCTGAATTAAGAAACTAATGCGAATAATAAAATTTTCTATCAGTATTTCTTTATTATAAAGGATATTATGATCTTTTATAAGATGATATTTATGACCTTGTAATCAGCTTATCTAATACTGTGATATTAAAATAAAGTGTTATAAACATATTATTTTTTAATTAAACCTGAATACTTAATATAAAAGTGAATTAACAGTTACATAAAACTTAATTGCAAACCTTATTTTATAACCATAAAAGCTGTTCTAACGAAACGTAATCATAGAGTCTGAAACATATTCTCAATTGCGCTCAATTCTAAACTATTATCATTGCATTCGATATATCTGTCAACTGTGTTATGCTATGCACGTGTTGTATAATTCTTCAAACCCGACTGTAATATGCTCTTTGACTTCACCGTGTATCCAGCATAATCGACATACTTTTCCAAAATTAGGTCTTGTAAACCAGGTAAATGTAACTCTTCTCCTTCATGTGGAGAGTCCGGCATGTTTTTTGATCTTTTATGCAATTTCCGCCGAATTATCATCCGGGTAATGACTAAAATAACTAGTAATGAATAACAAATCCTCCGTCAAGCTCCAAAATTCTTTATTTTGATCAGTTATTTCAGGTTTCACAGAAACGATCATGGATAGACAATCATTTACTATTGCGAACTTGGTTTGATTAATATTGTTTGAATGGTTTACTTTTTTAATTAGTTTTTTATTCATTTTATCTCTGTATAACTCGATATCTTTTCTAATATTTTCCTGCGAAACATTAAATGTGGATATTGTGCATATTAATCAATTAGATATTTCAGTGAACTTTTATATTAATTAACATTGCATTGTTATTTGCAATAAAAGATTCTTGTTTATCAATTGTTACTTTTTAATTAGCTTTTTTTTCATGTAATTACTTGATCCCGAGAAGCGGGCATTGTATTATTTTAATAAATTTACAATCCATATAGAATATTAAGATTCATTGTTTTTTAAAAATTCAATCGCTTTTTAATTGGATTCAATTAATTCAATACGTAACAATTGAATATTTCCAAACTATTATGATAATTGATTAATTTCTTTGTGTGGCTATTGATTTAAAAATAAATATTACTAACAAATATTTTACCAGGCATGTTAAATGACGTGTGCAATTTTCTATTGGCACGATGAAAAATACGGGGTATAAACTGAAAACATATTAATATGATAAATATGTTATGTTTTTATGATGTCCAAGGAACACGTGATGTATTAAAAAATATAAGATTATTAACTTTACAAAAAGTCATTTTTACTTTTTTAAGATTTACTAGTGATCCTGACAGTATTGCATAAATCAATACATAATAATATAGCAGCAACGGTTAAGAAAGAAGCACTCATAGTAGCTAAATAAATGTCAGGACTAGTAATTTGACTTCCAATACCAGGAATAATGGAAATAAGATCAAATACCCAAACAAACAGTAAGAGATCAAAAAAACAAGCAATGATATTAAGTAAGAAAGAAGTTAATATGAGTAAACCAGCAATAATTGTAAAATGAAAATATAATAAAGGTAGAGAGATTACATTAAATATTAAAGCTATTAAATATGGAATTGAGAAAAACCTCGAAAAATTAACGGTAGAACTCCTTGGTTTAAAATTATCGAAAGCACTTAATAATTTAGATAATAAACCCGGGGCTACTGCAGCAATTTCCCCGGCTGTATTTGTAGCGGTATTTGCAGCAGTATTTGCAGCATTGATGACAGCACTACTAATGGCCGAAACAGCTGGTTCTACACCAGGAATTGAAGGAGTTGGGATTGACAAAATTGGAATATCGAGACGTTTTTTGTTTAAGTATTTACCAGTGATTTCTGAAGAAGATGGCACTAATAATAAAAATTTTATTCTTTTAATAAAAAAAAAAAGATTTGAAAAAAATCAAAATTAATAACTTACATTTATCAAAATTATTAACCAGTGAAGGTGTAGTGCATGAATTATCTAAACAATAACCGTATAAACTGAAAGTTATATCATTTTTTTTTGTAATTAATTTTATCGGTGCTTCAAAAGTAAATTTTGACAAATAAATAGTTTTAGAACTACCAAGCAAAAGGATAATAAGAAGTAAAATAGACAAAAGAATTAATATGACAGAAGTAAATATTAAAGAGTATTCTTTTGATGGCCGGACTATATGAGAACGGAAGAATGATTGAACTGGAACGATAACATAAATATAAAAAGATGAGTAAATTTTAGGTTTTTTTGTATTACTATTGGAAACGGGGGGGCTAAAGATGTCACCCATCTTTACACTATGACAAGTGTATATTTTAATATATTTCCTTTTAACTTAGTAAAACCTTTGGGTTGACTTGAACAAGAACGCGCTGCATGCCATTACTATTCCTTGACAGGATGGAATCCTTATATTTATAAAAAAAATCATTTATTTTAAAAATAAATAACAATTGTTTTTCTTTAATTTGGGAATAATACTTAAAAAGGTGGCCAGTTTAATTTAAACGTTGGAACACAATTAACAAATTCTAATAATATGACCAATATGAGAAAAAAAACAAGAATACTCAATTGTGTTAGATATAGAAATTTATTATGAAGATGACAAATAATTTCAGTGAATATTTTTGCAAAAAAAAATTTTATAGCCTTCCCTGGTAAGCATAGTTTTGGTAAATTTTAGTTTTTTGAATTTTAATCATGTGATATAATATAGATTGGTATAATCTAGGCAAATTAAATATAAATTTAGGCAAAATAAAATATAATTTGCATAGGGTGTAAAGCAGGCCACATTTTAAGATTAATTTTGGTCAGCATTAAGGTAAAAAAATTTGCTAAAGTGGGCTAGTATTTAATAATTATGTCTAGAGGCTGAAGAAAACCAACTTAAAGAGGGTGTAGGAGTTTAAAACAATCTTTATAGCTTGTCAAATACATGGATAATAGTGAAATTTGGCAACAAGGTAAGTTATAAAAATAAAAATTTTCTTCATATCTTAATACTGGCTAACCGGCATTAATAATATATAAGGTCATTAATTTACGTTAGAGTGTTTAAGTAGTGTTTAAGTTTTGTTTAAGTATAATTCCGGAAAAAAATACAGGCAAAATTAAAAATTCCAGGCACACAAAATTAAGTATAATTTCAAAATTAAACCAGAGGAAAATCACGTCCAATCAAATTAAAAAATTTGATGATCTTCAACGAGCAAAGGAAAATATCAAAAAACGGCAGTCCAGGAGTTGTTCTTTAAGTATAACAAAACCTCGAGTAATTGTTTCACGCCTTTTTTCTCTTCTCCTACTTTAATACTTCTATATTCTTCCGGGTCAATATTTTTAGTTCTTCTCTTTTTTTTAACAAGCATATCATTTTTAAATTTATAGTGGTAAATTTATGTTGAGATAAATATAATTTCTTTATTAGTTAATTCAAAGAAATAAATTGGATTTTTGCTTTGAAAATGTCCTTATCGTTATAGGACATGTAATTCAAGGAAAAACTGATTAATACCTGTTCATATTATCATCGATAAATTCGGGAATATTCAATTGTGCCTCACTAAGATCGTAAAGTAAAAAAAATTAAGATATCAGAGTATTTTAAATAATTTATTAGATGAATTTAAAAGCATTTTATGTAATAAATAGGGTTGTTAATGGAGTACTCCATTAACAACCCTAGTAATAAATAAAAGTTCACACTTGTTCGGCATATCGATATGAGCCGGTGTTGAAGAATAACCAAAAGTAGCATTAAAATTTTCAAAATAATAATGATATAGGTCTACAAAATAAATATTATTTGTTATATATTACTATAATTACGAAATAATGTTCTGTGCATTTACATGAATATTAATTTATCTTATATAAGTGCAGCCAAGGTAGAACTTGTTATTGGGCAATCATTAAAAAACTGCATGTAAAACAATAATTTCTTTACCTTCTCTTTCAAATAATGATTTTTGAAAATTTCAAGTTGCAAGTCTCCGATTGGTCTTAACATAAAGGAATTATTGTTACAATTAAAAAGTGTTCAAATATCCAAGCATTACGTGCTTTAAGAATAGATAAATGCTTTACCAAGCTACATTTACAATGAAGATGGCTATCTTCCTCTGATTCATTTTCTACTAGTTGTTTGGATAATTCCTTCTTTTTCGAAACTCAACATGGTTGATAAACTCTTTTTTTCTCAAGGCTTTTGACTTAGTTTTAGGTGTCATCATCCTTTACTATTTGCAGCTTCGCTAGAATTCATTTGGACTATGCCATTTTTGACAATCTTAGCATGCATCTACAAATTTTGTAATGAGATTGACTTGTGTTCTTTGTATATTCTTTTTTTTGCGTAAATCAACAGTGCAAAAGCAGGAATCTTGCAACGAATTGAGATACCTTATGACAAAATTAATGATATAAAAGATATAAGAAAGGTGGATTCGCAACCAAATATCGGGCTACTTGGAATCAAATAATTAATATTTCTGGTTTAGCAAATGCTATAGGCGACAATGTATATCATATTATTTTACAATATGCCAACAATGAAAATCTTAGAGACTATCTTATGAAAATTTTACAAAATTATGCTGGCAAAATAAATTAGAAATCGCGAAAGGCATAGCAAACGGACTTTCATTTATCCACGTCCAATCCGGAATACTATCAGATTAATAAAAGCTATATAAATGACTTTGTTAATTCATCGGTTAAATTAACAAGCATATTCTCATATCCACCCATAATTCCTCTCCTTCTAAAAACTCTCTTTTTCTTTTTTCTCTCTCGCTACGATATCAACCCTATTTTTTAGCATTTCTTTTTTATTTTACACAAACATGAAACCAAACCAAAGACGATGATTTACTTCTGCGAAATTTTGTAATAATAAAGTTGGTTTTTGTATAATTTTGTTGATTTTTGCAACTAACTGTTTTTAGTTTTACTAGATGTTTTGCATTCGTAATCTTCAAGTTACATTTGAGGATATTGAAGAAATGGTCATTCAAAAACCATAGAAAGAGACCTCGGATAGAACCAAAGAATAATGGGTCTTTGGTCCGCCATTTTTAAATAAGCTAATTCAATCTTATCTGATCCTTTTATAATAAATTAAAGAATATACATAAATATGAACTGTAAACTATTAATATGGTTTTTGATTAGTAGTTCGCATCTCTACAATATAAAACAAAAGTAAACTGACTATTTTTAATGCAAGAATTTGACAATTGATTCATTTTCTCACACAACGAAAATTGAAT